CTGGGCCGAAACATGCTTCAGTTAGCAACAATACAACAATCCTCTTAGCTAACAGCTAATCCTGGTATTTGGATTGTCTGATTGTAAGAAGCCTGAAGTAAACAGTATCTGTATTAAGACCACATGAACTCTGTGGTACTATGTGGTACTATGTGGTACTATGAAGTAACTGGTAACAGATCAGTACCTCAGAAGGCCTCTGGGTTTTGATCTGTAAAATACGGTCCTTGCTCATCTCCGACGCATCAAACCTAATAAAAGCGTTACAGGTATTAGAGTTTATTTTTCACCACTTGACACAGTGAATATAAACATAACCTTTTCAGTTGATGTCGGCCAAGTTCTGATTGTCTTAGACCACGCTCTGCAACAATAAAAGCCACAGTGGTTAATCTGATGTTCTTTCTATTTGGCTCTAAAAACCAAACAGGGATTCTTTATTTCCCCAAATGTCCTGGAGTCTGCAGCACAGAATCCAAAGAGAGTTAGAGTTCTTCAGTTTGATCGAACGCTGTGTGATGGACGAGAGTTTTTTTACGTGCCTCAGGCCTGTTCTGATGGACACTCTCATTCCCACATACACTTCTTACCTCATGTCCTTTTGTCCGCGTCCCGCTCCCGTCGGTCTCTCTGCCTGGGTTCCTGTCATGTTCAACTGCCTGTGTTTTAGTTTCAGTTTTCTAGTTTAGTTTTCTACTGACAGCTCCAGTCCAACCGACCGTCCACGGACCTCGGTGCTGGGGTTGCAGCTGCATCTCGGCTCACAGGTCCGCGTGTGAAAGGTCCGAAGAAAGCCTGAGCGGAGTCCAGAGAGCTCACCGGAGCGTACAAAAGGGCCCACACACCGCACACGCTGCCAGGAAACACAGCTCACAGGCAGGTGACACAGGGAGGCTTTGTCTGGTCCCCACCTCCTCTTCACAGGTGGGACTCCTCAGAGTCCAGAGCACAGATCTCTGCCCTGATGGTCCAGGAACATCGTCCAAGAACATTAAAAAGGCCTGGCAGGAGGTGGGCAAGACTTGGACCAGGAGGAAAGTCTGGAGGCCAGGGTTGATGTGAAGATCAAAGACTCAGGTTTGGTTGAAGAAAAAACTGAAGAATCTTTTCATCTCTTCATCAGGGTCACCACGATAGTCAACGTAGGGACTAGTCAATGTAAGGACTAGTCAATGTGAGGACTAGTCAACAGAGGGACTAGTGTGTGTGTGTGTGTGTGTGTGTGTGGTCAGCTTCCTTCACAGTCCAAAAACTTGAGGTTAATTTTCACTGTAATCTGACTGCAGGTGTGAATGTGAGCGTGAGTGTGAATGTGTGTTGGTGTTGGTCTCTACATGTGGACCAGTGGACCAGTGTAACTCCACCCTGACCTGATGACTTCATTACCACTGACTTACATTTCACTTTTTCTTCTTGTGAACCTGAGTCTTCCTGCTGTTGAATGGCCGTGGCTTCAGTTTCACGCCTCAGTCACAGCTGATCTGTGTCTTCTCATCAGGACTCATGTGGACTCAGTCACTACAAAAGAACCAGTTCAACCAGTAACAGGTGTGGAGGTGGTCGGTTTGTTTGTCCTGCTCCTGTTTAGTGTTCAAAACAAAATGGGACGTTTTTAAACTTGAGCAGAGAGAGTAATTTAGAATCAGAATACCATGTAAAAGGAGTCACCAGTTCAACCAGTTCCACCAGTTCAACCAGTCTACTCTATGATTAAAACATTCAAACATACGAGCAGAGCAGATCCAAACATCTGAGGTTTTCCTCCTCTGAAACAACAGTGTAAACCACAGCGCCTGTTTATTCTGGGTTCGATTTTTAACACAAGTTAATGAGTGGATTTTAAATCCTCCAGAGACTGATTAAAGAAGAACACTGATATGAACATGTATAAAACTTGTCACTGTCCTCCTCTTCAGCATGTTTAGTTGCCATTGTTTTGAGTGACTGTCAGAGCTGAGACACAACATCATTTGGGTGAACACAAAAGTCTGATTTATGCAACAACAAATGAGACTTTATTGCTTCCAAAGATGAAAGTTTTTCTTTAAAAAAATCATTTGATGTGGATGTATTTCTTTTCTCCCTTTCCTGTTTGTAAATTAAAAATAATGGTGGGAAGTCATTATTGGCCTATTGGCTTAACATTGCACTGTTGACAAATAGCAACATTTGACATAATAATCAAGACCTGTGTTGGATACAGTGAAATACATGTTATTGTTTTGAAAATGGCCGTTCTTTACAAAAATAGCCCTGATGTTGAGGCAACAGACAGACAGATGGAGTGACGGATGTGTCTGTTGTCAGGCCGGCTGTTCACTGTTGATAACTGTCTGCAGATTGAGGAGTACGAGAGGTCAGGGAGGGAAATTGAACAAATTCAGAACAGCAGCTGTGTGTGTGTATGTGTGTGTGTGTGTGGGGGGGTCATTTGTGCCACAAACCAGGGAACAAGGCTGTAGTGTAAGGCCGGACTCTGTGTACATGTCTTTTAAATGGCAATTAGAAGTTCCTGAAAGTCCCGGCTCAGAGCCACAGTGATGGTCTGACCTCTAATCATCCTCAATTTCTTTCAGGCCACAGGACCTCTAGATATGGCCTTCTCTGATTGGCTGTTTATTCTCCACAGAGCTTCCTGTTCATTTGAGCACCGCAGGCTGTGTGCCTTTATGGAGAGCATTGAGGGCAGAGGTGAATCACACACTTAAAGCATGTGTTAATCATCCACCAGCACCAGCGCTAACTTGGTACATGGACACTGCTGTCAACGTGATGGACAAAAGTACAAAAATCATTAACAACAACAATAGACGGTTGATGAGTGAGTTATGACTTCATAAGGCTGGCTCCAAATGTCTGAATCTTTACCCACGATACAGCTGCAAAAATCTTTTTAACAGAGAGTGGCTTTTCTAATCCTGACATCCTTCACTTCTATTGTTTTAACAGAGTTTTCACCTGTAACTCAACTATTTTAATATGTTATCTGCAGGATCAGGAAACCCATAAAACTTTATAGACTTGGCCCTAAACATATAGGGTGTGTCGTCCAGCACAAAGTCTAACTAATGTTGTAGTCTACTAATGGTTGTGGTCCCACACAGAAGCTGTGGTCTAATTGAACTGGTGGTGTCTGTAATAACGTAGAGTGACAATAAGTTGTGTTTGTGAGATGAAGACAGGACTTTCTCCAGAGTTAAGGAAATGTTCCTCACCACACGTGGATAGCAGATTTGAGGTGCTGAACTTCTGAACTGAGCACTCTCTGCCCCCTCTGGCCCCCGCCTCTCATATCAACTCAGCCCAGGGGATATATACTCTCCCCTCTTTGCCTTTAACCCGGCTGCACCTCGCTGGGTCATCTCAGTAATGAGCCATGTGCTCCCCTCTGGCTCCTGCTAATCAGGGATCCAAGGTTGTCCCATCTTCATTCTGCTGCCACTTCCGCATTCGTTGCTGCAACAGCAGCAAGACACACGGCCGTACACACTGAAGTGAGATGGTTCTCTCCATACCATCTGGCCTCCATGCTTTACTCTGTCTCCACTCTGCCGGCGATTTATGCCCTCCTGAGGTGTTTTGCCTTTTAACTCACACATAATTGGCCCCCAGATGCAAAAAAGATGTTGAGGCCAGTTTTTCATTAGTTGCCAGGCAGAGGTCAGTGTTTTTGCATCACTACGGTTCTTGGGCACTGTCAAGGTTAAAAAGACATGATCAGTGAAACCTTCTGCAATTACTGGAGTCTGTACAAACTTTTGTGATGGACCACGGACCATGAGTGGAGATAGAACAACATAAAGTTTTATACACTGCCTCATACAAAGACCTGTATTACCTTTCATATCTGTCTCCTGTCCAATGACCTTGGCCTTCAGGTCTGTCACTATACCTACTATACCTTATACGTTGCCTGTAAAAGCCTTGGTAGGTACAATTAGGAGTAAATACTTTGGACTTTATGGTTTTCTGGTCAACTGGAAAGTATGACTTAGTGCCTGACATCATTCTGAAGTTAAAAAGCCAGCAAGTGATATATGGTCAGTCCTAGCATTTCAACAACATCATTTACATCATTTGAAAATAATATTGCTTTATAGGTTAGTGCATTTAGACCATCACATGCTGGTAATCAGTCATTAAATAAAATATTTTAACATTTATTTTCTTATCTTCCCCACATACTCTGCTACATCAAATTGTGTATCTGAATCTTCCATCTGAATCTATCCATGTCCATCTGCCCCTGATTGATGGTAATAGCTCTTCTCAGAGGTCTTTCTGTTTATCTGCTGCTACATACTGTAGCTTCATCCTTAACATTCTTTATCCAAAAATCCCCTCATGTCCCCTCAGGTTGTGTCTCTCTCAACCTTGTCTCTCTAACATTGACTTCAAGACGTTGCACTTAAGCTATTTTAAAAATATATATATTATAAACAAATATTGTAAACTTTTCTGAAGAGTTTGAATCATTGTTTCTTTTTATTGAAAACTATGTTTACTATTAAATATTAAGTTTTATCTTCTTTAAAACCAAATAAATGAAACACACATGTCAAATAAAAAGGCATATGTCTGGATAGCGTATGTGTTTGCTTTAAGGATGACTTGTTTATTAAATATGACACTTTGTAACTTATATATAGGAATCCTATGTATATATATATGATTTGTAACTTGTTTAAACTTCAAAAACCAAGAAACAAATGCTTGTGTATCCAGGCTTGCGCCTGCAGAGAAAGTGAAGTTGGTAACTGAGGTATTAAACAAAATTTGATCTCGGTTAAATTTGATCTTCTGATATATAACAAGAAAAACTGTTTCCGACCAAAGAATAAGTAAAATATTCAAAATACGGTTGAAATTTGTCTTCTGATATATAACAATAAAAACTGTTTCCGACCAAAGAATGAGTAAAATATTCAAAATACGGTTGAAATACTTTTGTACGTAATTCTTCTACTCAGGCGATATCTGAAAGTACAAAGTACCGGTCTTTCTGGGGTCCTTGACGTGGCACTAATAAACAAAGATGGCCGCGGAGTTTCAAATACTTTGGGTTTACTCTGTATATCTTGGACCTTAAACTGGTATTTACTTGAGTCAGTAGTTTAACATATCTTTGTTCTGTGCATTCGTGACTTGAATATTACGGTTTAACGTTTTATTATATAAAAATGAGCGGTTGGGCAGGTTTTTCTGACGAGGAACTGCGTAGAATACAGCAGAAAGGTACTGTGCCTCCACCGAGAGTCTTCCTTCTCTTTATTATAAGTGCTTGAAATTCAGACTGTGGGTATTTTTCAGACTCAGCAGGACCCTCGGTGTCATCCCGCGGTCGAAAACCTACTGCAGCCAATCGTAATCGGCAACAGATACAGCGGGAGAAGGCTCTTCAGCTCTCCGCCCAGAGAAGCCCTGGATCCGGGTGCTCTGAGCTTTTACCGGAGCAGCAGCTTACCAAGCCTCCGAAACAGGAGTCTCAGACCGCGGCCCCACCTAATGCGTCACAGGCTCCGGTTGTCAGACTGGAAATGCAGCTGAAAGACTCAAAGGGAAAGCCGAGTGAAAACCATGCGGAGGATGAAAGGCCGAAAGAGGATCAGAGCTTGGCTGTCAAAGAGGTTGAGAAACAAGAGGCGGAATTGTAAGCATTGTATGAGTAGTCTTACGTTTATGTTTAATGGTTGCAAGGTTTGTGATCCTGATAAACTTTGTTTATTTATTTTTAATACCCTCATTATAATGATCAAGACAAAATTAGCTTGGTTAAATTTGACAAATAATTCTGCTCACTGATAAGCAAATCATTTGAGTATTTATGACAGATTAATTTAGATTTTTTAAGTCACATAATAAAACATGAATCACAACATGGGTCAAGTAGTAAAAGCAGATTGAATGTGTTTTTTCTTTTGCTGTATTGGGCTTAAGAACACAACAGTGATCAATGTTATTCTCTGCCACAGGACACAGAACACCTGTATTGTCTTATTAACAACTAGCAATAATTCAGTTAACAAATAGCAACTTCCCACTTATTACATATGTCAACAACTTCATTTGTACATTTTTGATTGTCTAGATCAGCAGATGTGTGTCCTGAATGATTAACTGATTTGAAAACTCCTCTCAATTCACTAATGAATTCTCTCAGTCCATCATAAGTTTGTCTGAATCAGTCAGAAACAGACAGAGTTCTGCACTCAGGTTAGATTTGGAATTGGATCTGTGGTCCTCTGGAGAGCTGTAGTTTCACTGTGATCCCACTCTGTAGAGCTAATCAGAACCAATTATTATTTATTTATTTATTTTTAAACCTTTGTGGTTATAGACGGGAGAAGACTCGTCTGGAGCAGCTGCAGGAAGAGCAGAAAAATATGGAAGAGATGAACAAGCGTAAGAAAGCTCTGCTGACCAAGACCATCGCTGAGAAGTAAGCACAGATTATCAGTTCTATGGGGTGTTACTAAAGTGGGGGGTATCCTTATAGGTGGTTGAAGTTATTGTTATTTTCATTATTTGTCCCACAATAGTAAAAATGCACTGATTTGTAATTTAAAATATTTTTTTCCAAAACTGTGATTTTTCTTTTTCAGTTCAGTGAAATTTCAAAGCTAAAACAGTTAATGTGTCGAAGCAGAGGATTTGAGGATGGTGGCCAAACCTGTGGGTGTAAAAATATTTATGTTATGTTTATATATGGAGCTAAGGAGTGACTTAATACCCACAGGTCCAGACAGACTCAGGCAGAGGTAGTGAAGCTGAAGAGAATTCAGAAAGAACTCCAGGCTCTGGATGACATGGTTTCTAATGATATTGGAATTCTGAGGTCCAGGATCGACCAAGCCAGCTGGGACTACGCTGCTGCCAGGTAAACACACACAGCCTGAAGAAAAAATAAAAACAAACGGACACATATATTTATTTTGTAAATCTCTGAATGGGGAGTGAAGGCACGCCACATGCTGACTCATGAACGACCAGTTAAATTTCAAACACCTGCTCCTCTGGCTCCAAGCTCCAACACATGTGACAGACAGGCCGCAGACCTGTGGCAGACATGTTGACTTGTCACACATGTTATCAATAACACTAGTGATGGCTTTCTTTAATTTCAGCGCCTCAGTGAACTGTGACACTGAGCCAAAAAAACTCCACACTTTCACATGGTCGTTTTAGGAAGTAACAACGGAGACAACACAGATGTGAGAGATAACCAAGAAAAATCAGCTGTTTGTCTGCGGAAGAAATTTAGGAGGGGTCGGCTGAAACATGTAATTTGGTAATTTGTTACTCGAACCAAAAAGCTCTAGTGTGTGTACCAGGACTGTTGCCAAAAAGCTCTGGTGTGTGTACCAGGACTGTTGTGGGTGATGTTGCTCAGTGCATTCTCTGGGTCATCTTCTAGCTGCCAAACAAACTTGATGTGCATTACTGCCACCTACAGGGCTGGCAGTAATGCACAGGTATGACTAAATGTGTTACTATGTTTGTGGTGTTAAAGGCCATAGTTGTTATGAGTGTTTTGGCGACTGTACTTTCGCTCTTCTTCCTTTATATTCCTCCAAACGTTTTCTGTCTCATCACACGTTTTAATCCAGTTCTAGTTTATATGCAGCACCTACATAAACAGTCCTTTAACACTAGAAACACTGCCCCCTGCAGCTGCTTCCCAGTAATCATGTAGCTCATGCATCTCTGGTCCAGTCCTGGTGGAGGACTCCCAGGTCAGGTACCGAGACTGTACCCTGTCTGATAATGAAGGTTGAAGTTTACACACTCACATCCAGCCTCACTGGACCCGACCTTGAGCTGCCCCGCCTCCGACAACACTCTTCATTACACATGTTTGTGTCAGAGGAAGTGGACCCGACCTTCACACACTCATTCCACTGGACTCTGCTGATTGAATTCGTTGTAGAGATGACGCTGAGCTAGAACATGAGACGGGGGGGAATTCAGGATTTTTTGCAAACGTCTGACATCATGTGGTCTGTTACCACAGTGTTTCCATGCAGCCTGTGCTGCTCTGTGGTTCTGACAATTAAAACAAGCTTTCTCTCATTAGACCATGTTTGTGTCCTTGCCATGGAGGACATGGACCGGATCTGAAACCATTCAGGGCACACCCTGCTACAATGTAGTTTAATTTGTGAAATATGGAGGAAATTTTCCAGAAAAAACAAAACAAGATTTAAATCCACCAGAAGCTGAAGCTGTGAGAATGTTAATTCAAACAAGTACAAATGTTCAGCCCAGCTGTGGCTGTAAGCTGCTGTCGTTTGACATTTGATACTATACGGGGTGACGATACGATATATTACGGTCGGCTTTAATGACTTTGTTCAGTTTAATCTTTGGTCCAGTCTCTGATGTCATGTGGTTTAATCAAACAGGTCCAAACGTTCTCCCTCACAGAGAGACAGGGTTTCAGGATCTGGTTCAAAGTGATGCTGACACTGAAGTAAACATCTGTGGGAAGTGAAACATGTGCACTGTAAACGAAAGTGTTTCTGACAAACTTCTCTGGTTCTGTCGCTCAGGAAGCGTTACGAGAAGGCAGAGGCCGAGTTTGTGACAGCCAAGATAGAGCTGCACAAGAAGACGGAGGTGAAGGAGCAGCTGACGGAGCATCTCTGCGCCATCATCCAACAGAACGAACTGAGAAAGGCCCACAAACTGGAGGAGCTGATGCAGCAGCTGCAGCTGCAGACCTCCATGGAGGAGCTGGAGAGTCTGAGGCAGCAGGAGGAGGAGCAGGAGAAGACGAGGAATGCGGTGGAGAGCCAGAGTGACAAGAAGGAGGGAAGTGGCTCCGTCAGCAACCAGGAGATGACGGTGCTGTCAATCGAAGACTGTAAACCTGCAGAGGAGAGGAGTGAGGTGGGGGTGGAGGGGGAGGAGACGGAAGTGAAGACTAAAACACCAAAGGGTGAAGGAGAAGATAGAAGTGTAGAAAACCACGTGGAGGCTGAGAGGGTGGAGTCGTGATGTTGACGGAACAACAACAACAACCAGGTTCATTGTACAACTGCTGACTCTTCAGTGATAACGTGGATGATTCACACTACAGGTGTCAATCATCCACGTTATCATTTAAATGTGACTTCCTGCTGTCAATGGTCAACAGACAACAGGGCTCAACACTGCCCCCCACAGTTTAAACATCCTCACTCTGAAAATGAACTATATACACAGTACACAGAACAGGCCTTGGTCTGAGAACGCCACGTACTGGGCCACGTACTGGGCCACTGTCTAATGAAATTTGACTGAAAGTCCAAAGAGCTCTGAACTATGTCTCTGTCTCTGCAGCGTGGACGTCCTCAGAGGAAAGCAGGCAGGATGTTTGTTTGTTTGTTTGTTTGTCTGTCCGTTTATTAATGATTCTAATTCTGTATCATATTCAGTCAGTGATGTCTTCCTTTAACCAATCAGAGAGCGTCTGCTCCTATTGGCCACTCCCCTGACAGGAGACTAGTTTATTTTGAACAGTTCCAGCACCTGCTGCTGTGTTCAACATAAGGCCACACTTCACTGTCAGGAGGCCCAGACCAGATCTGACCTCATGGTCATAGACCAGACCTGTACCCAAACCTCTGTGTCATGTTTTGTTCATTCGATTCGAGCATTTTATTTCCCTGTTAACCAGATGAGAAGATTTTTTTTTTTTTTTTAAACCAGATTACAGAGCTGTTTGTGTCACTGTTAGTTTAGAGCAAATACAGAGGGGAAAAAAGACAAAATATTACATTATAATAATAATTTTTTTGTTTTTGTTTATTAAATGTTGTGACATTAATCTGAAAATTTGACATTTGCACAAAAAATGGCGTATTTCCTAAAAATTACTTTTTGTAGTGAGTTCATCGGGATGTTGTAGATTATTGAACATTTTCACAGAAATATTCTTCTGTTTACACTGAGAAACTAAAGTTAAAGATGACAATCATTGACATTACCACTCCAGAAACACTGGGCCGAGGGGCGTTCAGACCAGGTCTGTGTCTGAGCAGTGACTGGCTGGAAGTCGGGAGACGATCATGGAGGAGGCAGAAGGTTCACGTTATTTTTATTTTATTTTTTTTAAAAGGTTGTGTTTCTGCTCCAGAAAAAGATTAATTGTAGGAGACGCTGACTCCTGCTGTGGCTCCCAACACAAATGATGAGGAGAGAATTGAACCCACATCCGGATGTGGGTTCTGGACGGGTGGGCAGAGTGGAGTGAACATGTGACACAGTTTGTCTGAGACTCCACAGTCTGTTAACGTGGTAGAAACAACAGACCGCGGCCGAACCTTTATTTAAATGTTTTCTAAATGAGTCACATGACAGAAAAAAGACGCCTTTTGATTCCTGTTGGCTTGCGAGTGTTGCTGCTTTTGACTTTTCAAACAACGGGAGAAAAATACGTTTTTATTAAACTGTCAACTTCAATGAAGCCAAACCCCTCTGACCCCCCGACCCCAGAAAACTCAGATGGTTTACTTTGACTTTATTATGAAAACAAACACTAAGATGTTGGAAAAACACTAACAGCCAAAAGCCTTCAGATTTTTCTACTTTACATTTTTATTGTAAATCAAAAAATTGGGAATTATTTTTTTATTGTTGGTCAAAACTGTCAAATCAAACTTGTTATTGTCCTTGTTATTTTTCTCTGGTGAGAGTTAAATCTGCTGCTGTTGATTTTTAATATGATCAAAAAAGCGGGGGTGGGGGGGTCTGGTCACAGTGTCATGTTGACACTTGTTGATATTTTTTTACCTTCAGTTTGAATGTTGGTCCGATCGTCTTTGTTTAAATGGTGCAGAGGAAACAGATGTATTTAAATAAGGTATATATTTTTAGTAAAGTTAATTATTACAGAGATTACCAGGGCGTGGTGTTTTATTAAAATAAGAACGAAGAAAGAGATGTGTGTGTGTGTGTTGATTTATTTGAACCTCATGGAGTAGAGAAAAATAAAATGAATGACATATGTTATATACACAGTGAATTTATCATGTGAATATAATAAATATTGTTAGGACTGAAGGAAATCCCAGTGATTTTGTGATTGTTTGAATTTTGTCATTTAAATTATGTTTTGTGGTTGTGGTTTTTTGTTCTTTGTATTTTCACCACAGCAGAGACATTTATGTCTGGATATGAACGTGCAATAATTATAAAATCTGTTCATATTTTTAAGAAGCAAAAAAACCCCTCAAATCTAAAATTCAGCTGTATTTTTTTTATCTAAACTTTATTTTAACATTAAAATGTAGAACTAACTTCAAAAAGTTCAAAAATAAAAAGGGTTTAATGGATGAGTGACAGAGGTCAGAGGTTCTAATGATCCTCAGCTCTGACACTAACTGGTTTCAGAGTTGTGTTTGTCATTATTAAAACACACAACCTGTGCAGCAGAGACGTGTTGGTCAACTGACTGGTCTGTTTCAGTGGAACACAGAGAAACAACAACAATGACTGTCCGGCCTGCAGTCCAGATCTGTGTTCTGTTCAAATGTCTGGATGAAGACAACTGTGTCCACAGTTACTGTCCAACTGTCCTCACGTCCTCTGGACACTGAGTTCACCCTGGGCCCCTCCACCTGTGCAGCTCCTCAGTCCTTCTTCTTCTGTTCCTTCTCCAGTTGTTTTTGCCTTTTTGCCCTGTAGTTGGCACCAGAGTGGACTTGTAGGCAGGACGACAGACTCTGGGGGAACTAATGATGAAAAACTCTGCTCTCTCCCTGAGCCTTCATTAAATACATGGAAAGAACGAAGAGAGAAGAAACATCTGGATCCAATCCTCGTCCCTTTGATGGCATCAACTCTTCTTTTCCCAGATCAGCGGCTGGAAGCTACGGGACGTCCAAGAGTCCAGTCCTGCCATCTGA